AAGGACAACAAATAGACCTTGAACTATTTATAGGGTTTTCTTTTTTATGTTGTTGCCTTTTTTTGTTGTGGTTGCTGCTGTTGCAGCTATTGCTTTATTTTCTATTGTTGTGCTCCGTCTTGTGTTTGTGCCTATTGTTGTCTCTCATGTCTAACTGGATGGGATAGGAGGGATAAACAAGCCGGAACAGAGAACAACAGGACGACAGTTCTGGGGGAACATGGAAGAGGGGGAGGCGGGGGAAAAGGAAGTGGGTGTTAACAAACCCAGGGACAAGGGAACAAGTGACCAAAAAACGATGGTGAAGAGGGTGTAGGAGGTAGGTTAGGGCTTGATCAAGGGCAATGTAACCGAGAGGAATTACTGAAACCCAAATGAAGGCTGAACACGATAGTGAGAAAAGAGGAAAGTAAAAGGAAATAGAGGGAAGAACTAGGAGGCAAAGGACATTTATAGAGGTCTAAACACAGGCATGTACATACGTTAATATATTTATCTATGACGATGGGGAAATAGATCTAGCTACATATATTTATAGGTTTAGTATTAAGGAAGCAGATGGACATTGGGCTTCAACTCAAGTACTCCCTCAACACAAGAACACTTTGTTCTAGTAATCTGGCTCTCTGAGATACTCACTTTCCCAACACTATAGCTGAAGACAAAGTGGGTGCATAAGGAAATGTGGTGAAGAAAGCTGATGGTACCGGGCTATGAAAAGATAAAGTGTCTGGGGGCTTAAAGGCTTGAAGATAAACAAGCATCCATCTAGCTGAGAAACAACAAAGCCCACATGGAAGAAGCACACCAGTCTGTGTGATCATGAGATGTCGACCGGATCAGGTAACAGGCATCAGAAGGTAATATCTAACGAGGCACCTAATTTTACCACAAAAACCACATAAAAAATGTGCCGAAACAAGAACAAAACTCATATCATTGTAAACGAGGGTGAGTGCAGAGTGGAGACCCAAAGCCCATCTGTAGGGAACTGGACACCCCCTTACTGAAGGGTCGCAGGGAGGAGACGAGCCAGTCAGGATGCAGGGTAGCAACGATAAAACAAACATACAACTTTCCTCTAGTTCTTGAATGCTTCCTTCCCCCCCACTCCTCACTATCATGATCCCGATTCTACCTTACAAATCTGGCTAGACCAGAGGATGTACACTGGTACAGATAGGAACTGGAAACACAGGTAATCCAGGACGATGATCCCTTCAGGACCAGTGCTGAGAGTGGTGATACCTGGAGGGTGGAGGGAAGGTGGGGTAGAAAGGGGGAACAGATTACAAAGATCTACATATAACCTCGTCCCTGGGGGAAGGACAACAGAAAAGTGGGTAAAGGGAGACATTGGACAGTGTAATATATGACAAAATAATAATAATTTATGAATTATAAAGGGTTCATGAGGTAGGGGGGAGCGGGGAGGGAGGGGAAAAAATGAGGAGCTGATACCAAGGGCTCAAGTGGAAAGCAAATGTTTTGAGAATGATGAGGGCAACAGATGCACAAATGTGCTTGACACAATGGATGGATGGATTGTTATAAGAATTGTATAAGCCCCCAATAAAATGATTTAAAAAATAAATAAATATAAAAAGTATTTAAATTTTTTAAAAAGTGCCGAAAAACCTGGCTTACACATGAGTATATACAGTACTTCGCAACTATTTGGGGTAATAAAACTTGGAAAAGAGCCCGTGCTGCACTGCCTTCCCTACGCATTGCTGAACTCCTCCACGGACCGGACATTCAATCGGGTTCCTTATGTTGTTCTCAAGAATTATTTTCCGCTTTCCGGTCCACAGGAGAGAATCATTGCTGCTTTAGGACGTTTCATCCTCTGAGAGACCTTTCTGTGTCCCACAGAAACAAAATTCCATTGTTTAATGTTGAGTGATTTAGAGACCTTGTAAATTGTTTATACTACCCCCGCCCCCCAAAAATCACAATTTAACAGATTATTATTATTTTTTTTTTTTCAAAAGGGCCAAATGTATTCTTATTGAAGAATGAGTTTTGTTTCATGTGACCAATTCGGTTCTATTTAAGTGAAATGAAATTGTAAAGTGACCAACATATTGATGTGGGAAAGAATATGTATTTCAAGACTGGCAAAACAAAATGCTTAGTTGAAGTTCGAAGCACTTACATCTCCTTTAGTCAGCTGGAGAGTGGGCAATTAAAACAATCAGTCCGGTAGGTTTCCTTCCTAACATCCTTGAAGTTGTGATGGCAATGTAAAATGACCCATGAAAAAAGCAGTATTTGTTAAAGACTATTTAGAAGAAAGATGACAAGCAGAAACTGTAAGAACAGCTGCATCTAACAAGCAACAGTTGGAAAAATCATTTCTAGGTTCACAAAAGTTTGCATAAACTGTCAAATAAATAATTCGGTACTAACTGAAATCTTTAGCTCCTACCAGTGGGAGAAATTTTGAGATGAACTTATCAGGCCCCAAAGGCAAGAGGAATACACCACCTGTGCAGGCATCCCAAGAAAAATAAGTCTGTGTGGAAAAGTCTTCTATGACAAGCAGTGAAATACTTGCTGATGTTCACATAGTGCCTAGGATTTTACCATGAAGCTCACACTACTCAAAACATTACTTCATATTACTGTTGCTCTAAAAATAGCTACTAGAAATGTAGCTTAAAGGAAATAATTTGTGAATGACTAACAATAATGGTCATAAAAATGATTTTTACAAAATTTTCCATGAGTACTGAACTACTTTTGATATCAAAAAGCTCATTTTAAAAGATCCTAAATTTGTAGCTTTTCAGATTTTCCTTAAGTGAATTGTTTTGGCGGCAAAAGAGATCAATGTAGCAAGGACGGCTTAATCTAGCAAAATCCAACTACAATATAAAGCCCTTGGCTGAAACCTTTGTACTATCATAAGACAAACTTGAGACAGATTAGAGTATCAATATTCAAATATTGGCAGATGCTGGATTGTTTCCTAAGTCATGCTCTTTAGGCTGGTCTTTAATAATTTAGGTTGATCTTTAATAATTTCTTCTACTGACCTTAGCCAATTTGAGTAAAGACCTGTTAATTAGTAAACCAGGTAAGTACAATAGAGCATATCAAAAGAACTAAAATTTCCATGTTTATGAAATTGATGAGTTCTGAAATGATGAAATACAGTGTTTTCTCTGTCTGCATCAAATGCATTTCTTCTGTTGTCATTACACTGGATCCAATGATATTTGGGAATAATGTGGAGTACCAGATACCACCACCCTCAACAAGACCTGCTCCCAAATATTACTTTTCCAGGCATAGGTGGGCTATATTCTAGGAGAAAGATACAAGACAATGGAATTTCCTCTTTTGACATCAGTGGCATAGTATAAGAAGAAATTTTAAGAAATGGAAATGCTAAACAAAATCACCTACTACTGATGACAACAAAAAAAGACTTCTTCGGCAAGGGTCCTCATGTATACACAGCTGGAGCTACACAACAAAAACACACACACACAAATCTCCTTTCCAAAAACAGGAAAGGGGTACAAGAATAGTGAGGGAGATGTAACTTAAATAAGAGGTCCTACAAATGGCAAACTGAAAAAGCAAAATCCTGCTTCCAAGGCTGTTCTTGGATAACCCACATATGTTCTAGGATCAAGTACAACTGCCAAAGGCCCATAATGTGCACCTTGAAAATTCTCAGTACTTGGTATTTTGTATTCAACATCTACCACATGATAAGCTTTCCAACAAGTGTGTGAGGTAGTTTTTCGGTCTTTCATTCTGTGAAGGACAGTTAACTTCTTTCACTGGAACCAGGCAGACCGTAACGGCAGGGCTGGGGCTCAAACACGAACCTGTGTGACTGATGCTGAGCACTACACTACATTATCTTGCTAAAGTACTATGTTCGATCTATTGCATTCGTGTACAAACTCTAGTTCAGACTGTGCTCAACAACTGAGCTGTGTGATGTTGCTGACAGATTTTGGTTTCTCAACTTAAAACCTGGTCCCTGATGTTTGAAAACGGTGAACACGACTGGGATCCAATCGCATGTTCTCTGTGTACGCTTTTAGGACCGCTTCCATTCAACCCAATGTCTCTGATCAGGCCATTCTGGGAACGTCCTAAGGCAGTCCTAAAGACAGGAAACCTGAAAAACAAGTTTCAGCTTCCACATCTACAGGTAAGTAACGATGTCTTTTAGACCCGTCACTTTCGCCAGTGAGCCTCTCTGGAGTCTCTTACATGAAGGCCTAGGCAGATGACTCTCTGCTTGAGCACTATGGTCCAGTTTGCATGGACCACCCACGGCATGCTCCACCAAGGATAAGAAATCACGATACACACATGCAAACTGCATCCACCACAGTTTGAGGCTGGGAGTCCCACTGCAGATTTGTCCCCTCAAACTGAAGCTTACCTAAGTACATAACCAAACATTCAGGGGACTTGAAGAAGGGCCCCAGGAATGGATGAACTTCCAACAATTTTAAGTGTTGATTTTTCTACCCACGTAGATACCCTTAATGCACATGTGGACAGAGCTGGACGGGGCCATGAAGAGCTCATGTAATGTAGGCGTCTAGTCAAAGATGCAGTAAAGGTCTGGATCTCGCTTTCACTGAGAGATGAGGATGCATTTCAATGACTGACTGAGTTTGTGGGGATACTGCCTCAAGTCCTATTATTCAATTTGACTCGATGAGCAGAAAAAAACATTCATCCCACAATACTGGCCATTTGAAAACTCCAGAGATTTGGAAGATAAACCTCCTGGCCCAGCAGCCCCAGTTGAACATATGCTGACAGCCTTTCCCCAGCCTGGCCTCTAGGGAGAACCAAACCTTACTGCTCTACAGCATTCATGGCTTCCGTACGCATCCAGAATGATACAAACGGTGTGAACTCCTCAGGGGAGCTGAGAAAACCATTCTGTGGGATCTGCTGATCAGAACAACAGCTCATTCTTAAGCTCATGATGGTGCCAGCGCTGACCAGCTGCTTACCACTGCAATCAGAGGAGGTGACGTTGTACAGGAAAGGGTAGAACTGCATACACCGGATCAGTTTCAGGCTGCTTTCGCACTCTGGGCACTTGGCAGTTAATGTCAAAGCTTTCCTAAAGGCCTCAAGTGCCCCACTAATATTCTTCAGAGCCAGGTAAGCATTTCCCAGGCTCAGAAAGGTCAGGGGCTGTGAAGAAGAAGGAAAACAAAAACAAACAAAACAAAACACCAGAAAACAAAGAAGGTTAATGGACTGATATTTTCTGAAATAGAAAACCCTGAAACTGTGTCTTTTGACTTCTCTTAGGCCATGTCACCCCATAAAAGTTTTGGGCTAACTGTCCATTTTAGTCTCAGCAGTCAGTATCAGTTCATTCTTCTTCTAAATGGATATCAAATTCTCCATTTCTCAATATACCAGCTTGTCCATCCATTCTCCGACTCACAGACATATGTTTTGCTTTCAGTTTCTAGCTTTTATGAACAGAACTACTACGAGCATTCTTGTAAATGTCTTTGGGAGACATAAATACTCATTTTCCTCAGGTACAGACTTAGCTGTGGGTCAGAAGACAGGTGGATAACTTAAAACCTGAGAAAGGAGCCTGTGTCGGATGGAAACCTGTCAGAGAAGGAAATCATTATCATTTTCCACCACTAGAGAACAACAGAAAAGTGGAAAGGCTGCTCGCTGTTAATGGCAAAAAACTTGCTAGACCTGAGAAAACAAAGCAGTCCTGCAGAGTTCTGGCTCTCACAGGTTTCACTGTATTTTGTAAGTAGCTACAGTTACTAGGTTTCCAACGAGGATGTATAAATTTTCACTCTACCAACAAGTATAAGAATGCATTGACTTGCTTGCTCTAAAGAGTGGGTATCTCCCTGGGGTTATTATTCACTGTATAAATCTTTCTATCATCTGGCTGAAAGGTGAGCCACAAAGGTGAGTTGAGTTCCCAGTGTGATAGGCGTCTAGGGGTTATAGTCTTAGGGTTCTACCAGTCTCTGATAGACCAGTAAGTTTGATCTTTTTTATGATTTTGAGTTTTGATCTACATTTTCCTCCCACTCTGTCCAGGCCCTCCTGTGTGATCTTTTTCAGAGCAATGGGCCTTAGTTTGATTTATTTTGTAAACGTCATTATTAATTCGGTTAATACATACATATGTTATATCACTCAATCACATCCAGCAGAACGGTACAATCGCTACCACAATCAGTTTCTAAACATTATTCTTCTTCCCTGGATTCCTGGACACCCACACAGCAGTTCCACGTAAGGGGCCTGGAGCTGAGCGCAAGGGCTCCCGTGGTGCAACAGGGAAAGGATAATCTTCTCAAGATGGGGTGCTGGCATAGTTGGGTATTCATGTGGAGAAGAATGCCCTCGAGATCATTTACCTTGGAATGGGTCACGGACCTACATGCACAACCTGAAACTATAAAACAGCTACGAGACTGCCAGTCAGGGTGCGATGTAGCAGCGATGAAAAATACAACTTTCCTCTAGTTCCTAAATGACCCCCACCCCCCGCACTATCATGATCCCAATTCTACCTTGCAAGTCTGGAGTCTGGCTAGACCAGAGGATGTACACTGGTACAGATAGGAACTGGAATCACTGGTACAGATAGGAACTAGAAACACAGGGGATCCAGGGCAGGTGATCCCTTCAGGACCAGTGGTGTGAGTGGCGATACTGGGAGCGTAGAGGGAGGGTGGGTTGGAAAGGGGGAACCAATTACAAGGATCTACATGTGACCTCCTCCTTAGGGGTTGAACAACAGGAAAGTGGGTGAAGGGAGACGTCGGACAGGGCAAGATATGACAAAATAATAGTTTATAAGTTATCAAGGGTTCATGAGGGAGGGGGGAGCAGGGAGGGAGGGGGAAAAAAACGAGGAGCTGATGCCAGGGTGGGCCTAAGTGGAGAGCAAATGTTTTGAGGATGAGGGCAATGAATGTACAAATGTACTTTACACAATTGATGTATGTATGGATTATGATAAGAATTGTATGAGTCCCTAATAAAATGATTAAAAAAAAACCCAAAACAGCAACGAGACTATATAAAACAAAACAGAATTAATTTTTCAAGCTCCTGGTGATTAAGAGTTGCAATGGAAATGACTGACAAATTCAAGGGTTTTTAAACAGCTGAACTAAAAAGGCAATGCACGGGAAAAGCGTTTTGACATATGGCACTTAAAAGGTTTTGATATATCTAGAGTTCATAAAATATACATATGAAATGGAAAACAAAACACCTAACTTCTACCTAGCCAAATCTATAAAATGCATACACAAACTTTGACTTAAAAGATATAAGGGATGATGATGGCACCATATGTACAAATGTGCCTGATACAATGGATGGATGTATGGATTGTGGTAAGAGCTATACGATCCCCCAATAAAAGGATTAAAAAAAGAAAAGATACAATGGAAAGACAAACTGATGCTGCAACAGAGATGTGAATGCTGATAAAGTGGTTGGAAGCAGTGTAACGCTGATGAGGAGTGTGCGCTCTGTGGCCAATGTCCCTGAGTTCTATGCTCCATGACTTTAAGTAAATCCTTTTCCTCCTAAGTGGATAAATTCTACCTTGTAGGAGCTTTGAGAAGATTAAGTGAGTTACTACATGTAAATTTGCTTACTCTAAAGCAATGAACAAACATCAGTAGTTATTTCAGATGCCAAATTCTGGTGAGCTTAAGAGGATTGGGTAGTTTCAGGCCTCCATGGTGGCAATGTATACTGGCCTACATCATTTGGTGGACTCTTGGCATTTTGTTTCCATAGCCATCAAAATACTCATTCTGTTACTGATCTAGAAATCTTTCCTACAAAATCATCGGAAACACAGAACTGGCTCAGAAAGACAGTGAGCAAATCATTATTGCGAATAGATAAGTACTGTCAGCAATCTACATGCTCAGCAACAGAAGAGGAAGCTATGGCATATCTGTGCATTCAACATACATAACACACACACACAATTGTATATATGAATGGTACAGCAACTATGTAGTAATACATTTTTTAATATAATGAAGTTTTAAAATCACCTGCACAGTCGAGGTGCAAGACTATGACATATTTACCCTAAAGAAAAGCTTCCATGGAACTACTTACAAATGCTGAGAGTTTGAGGGAGGGGGCCCTTGTTAAGGTCTGTTTTTTTGGCCTCTACTCTGGTCCATGGGAGGAAAATGGGGCTTTCTATTCCCATTAAGAGTGATAGTCTCAAAAGGGGGGGCGGAGGGTTTCTACTCTGTCTTAGAAGGCTGAAACGAGTCAGAACTGACTTGGTGGTAGTGAGTTTGTCCCGTCCCCGCCTCCCCCCCACCCCCGCCCCCCCGAGATTCGAACCATTAATTCATCTTTCTATTTCTGCTGCAGCACCAACAGCAGTTTTAAAGTACAGAGAGATAACTGATCTCGGAAGGAGTTTTCTTTCTTTGGAAGAATATGGCCTAACTGCCTGGGCTGCTGGCAGCAGCAAGTGCAGGACGGAGGAGAACACAGCTGTGTTGAGCCTTCCATTTGGCTCCCCGTTCCAACACATCCATGCACAGCATCTGTTTACAATGTCCCAGCACCTGGCACACAGGACGCATTTCATAAATATTTGATGTACTTCTTTTGCAACTTAACTTGCAATATAGCAGATAGATTGTAAACTATGGCTTAAAATTCAGTTGAGAACTTCAAAGGAAACTCTCAAATAGGTGCTGTTGCCTTCTCATGGCTGAAAACCTTACTTTCTGGGTGCCTTAAACAAATCCCAATGGAGCCTTGCTGATATACCGGTTACGTATTGGGCCGCTGACTACAAGGTTAGCAGTTCAAAGCCACCAGTCAAGTCACTCCTTGGGCGAATGATTGGGGGTGGGTGGGTGTCCTACTCCTGTAAAGAGTGACAGTCTCAAAAAACCACAGGGGCCGTTCTACCCTGTCCTGTGGGGTTGCTATGACTCAGTTTTGACTTGATGGCAGTGGCTGAGACATTAGCTATAAAACCAATTTAATTGCATGTTCATTAAAACCCGTGTTCCATCAAACCTAAGAGGCCATTGATTTCAACATGCATCCTGATTTTAACATAAAAAAGCAAAGTGGCCTTTCAGAAACTATGAAACACTAACTAACCACAAAGCAGTGACGTAACTCTGTGGACGAGGTGGGAGGGTCCCGGTACTTTCTAATCTTATCAAAAAGACGTTTAAGCTGTGCTCTGGTTTGGTTGATATAAAGATAATCGCGAAGTGAAAGTTGTGAAGTGTGACAATGGTAAGCAGTGCATGTGATAGAGAGCTAAGCTAAGTTCGGAACCAGATGTTGCAGGTAGAGGCAGTATATTTTCAGAAAGTGCTGCCACCCTTATTTCAGTGTAAATTTCTAAAATACTAACTGTACAATTATAAATCTCATTCATTGTAAAATAAAAAGAGGAACAGAGCCAAAGGAAAAACAAAACAGAAGTTTTTAGGCTCTCTCTAGAAATTTAGAAATGTATAAACTCAGAAAAACACAACACGACATTTCTAGGCCCTCTTTAGAACCACACAAATTGTATCTTGAATGTGAACCCCCCACACCTTGTATGCACACGGAGCTACAGAGAAAGAGGAAGGCTCACCTCTGAGCTGTTGATGGCTAAAGCCTGCAGGAGCAGCTTAGTGGCATCGAGGTGCAGACCATAGTGGATCAAGAGGTTGGCCAAGTTGACAAGAGGAATGTCTTGGTATTGAAGTGGGGCTAAGTTCAAAGCCCTCTGAAGACAGGCGATGGCAAAGGTGCTGTTTCCCACTGCTCTCCAGTACAGCCCCGCCTCGTTGAGGATGAGCCAGACGGGAGCATTTGGCTGAAAACCCCCACAGTTTGGTTAATACAGGACTGTGGGACTTATTCTACACATCACAGCATATTTGCTCTAAACTGGATTTCAATAAGTACGTTTTGACACACAGCCTGGGGGAACAACGGTTAAGTAGCTAGCTGCTAACCTAAAGGTCATCAGTCAAGACTCCACCAGCCAGCTCTGTGGGAGACAAGGTCTGGCGGCGACCTGCTTCCTAAGGGTGCCAGCCTAGGACCCCCTGTGGGGGAGTTCCACGCTGTCAACTGGGGTTGCTCGCAGCTAGAATGGACTGGACAGCAAACAGGGGAACACTAAGCCTTCAAGGTTAAGAAGTGAGACTCACCTTGTTAATAGCGTGAAATAAGAAAGACCCGATTTCTTCTTCTGGGATAGTATAGTTATTAATACGGGAAAGCAAAACCTGAAAACAGCAAAAGGAAGCCTGACTCAATTTAAAATAATCAGGAAGACATTTGAAAATCAATTTTACAGATGGCCAAGATTTTACTTGAGTTCCTCTGGAACAGCTAATTTGAATAGATATTTTAATCACATATATGTGGGCATTAACACGACAACAGGAGTTAACCTATTGGCGTTCACTGCTCTTAAGGACAATATAGGTAATAATACATTTTTATTTCTGATTTTGTTAAATACTCATTGAGAAGTAACAAGGTTGGCTGTGAGGAGGTTATGGCTTAATTTGGATACACAGACTTTATCATACTATTCTCTTTAATTTTTCTGTATTTTAAATCTTCCAGTAAAATGAAAACACACACACACACACACACACACACACACACACACACACACGCGCATTATCTATGAATCTCCATTAAGGTCAACTGAAGTGTCTGGAACGGAATAATTATTTAGAACACAGGAGCATGTGAAAACATGTTAGTTCCCTTAGTTGGAAAACCACCACATCCCAATGAAATCTATTCTGTATTCTTTTGCAGTATTTATATACTGTGAGCAACTCTAAGGTATGGATCATGAACTTTTTATTCCTAGTACCCAAAACAGTGCCCAGTACATGTTTTTTTTTTTGCTTCAGCAAAAAGTGTTGAATGTTAAGTCATGAACTGCTGATGGCTTAGAAACTAAGTTTCAAAAAACAGCAGTTGCAATGGCCTGTGCTCTTAGTAAGAGAGTAATTTTTTCATTTCTAAATGTATAGAATTTTATCTAATATCTAACCTAATCTGCACTTGGAAATAAACTAAGTTACAGAAAAGCAGCAAGAATGAAGGAAAACAGCACCACTGAGTTATGTTTGCAAAGGGAATCATCAAATTCCTACAAAAGGACAACACAGAAGGCCAAAGCCGGGTTGACTGAAGGCCATGGAGAGGGAACGTTCAAGTTGACAATTTAGACAAACTTCTGGAGGATCGGAGGAATCGCAGCTAAATCAAGTGGTCAAAATGATTTCTACCACGTAAACGGAGAGAGCCCTTGGTTATGCATCGACATGACACTGTGGGTCAAGGAAGCAAAGATGAGGCCTACTGAGGCAGCTCCCCTGAACACACTTGCCTTCCACTTCTTTAATAGCAAGACTGCCTGGCTGACTTCTCAAACATTTCACCCATATTTTCAGTTAAAAAATTTGAAGTTCACCAACTGCCTTCTACCAATTTTCTGCTCCTTCTAAGAGGCTTCTGAGATCACCCAGAATGGACGGCAATAAACACCAGCCTAAGTGAGCCTTACTTTTCGTGCATGGTCATCTGGCATTTTGGCTTTCAGATCCATGCGGACCTCTAATTCTTTGACTAAGTAGGATAGAGTCTGGCTTTTTCGGAAGTCACTTATGGAACAGTCTGGGGTTTGGGCCTCTTCTTCTGAAGAATAATCATCACTGTTGAGCTCGTGGATCCTGGCACAAGAAAAAGGAACAAGATTCATATTTTCCAAGTTTTGGTGAGGTCAAGATAAAGACTTAATTAACCTTTCAAGTCCAAGGCTGGTGCTCTCAAAGAACTGCCAGGCGACAATCATACAGAATCAGGTGCTCTGCCAAATCCATCAGCACTTGCCTGAGTCCTTTGTTTTCCGGGGGCAGAAAATACGTTGGCAATTCCCCACCACCTGGGACTCTCGGGTGGCTCTCGGCACAATCGGCTCTTTTAGGCCACAGAACATGCTGTTTGTCCTAATAAAATTAAGAAAGTTTCTTATAAATTTCTTTCGAGTCAATTCTTCAGTAGTTAAATGAACTGTTAAACAATCTACATACACTCTACTAAATAGAAATGTTAATATTTTAAGATACATGTGGTAGACATGGTTGATAACGCAGTATTCTTTCTAAGAATACTTTGTAAGATTATTAGTCAGTCTATGGCAATTCCACCTACTTTCCTATAAACTGGTTTGGGATTGGCTATGCTTAAATTCGCAGAGGCAATAAGCCACAAAACGTGCTTGAGTCTCTGGGAAAGGAAAACAAACCTTAACCTTTTATGACCCAAACACCCCCTTTGTGGACCAGGAATGTGAATAGCCTTCCTCTCATGCAGAATGCATTGGGAAGTGGATTGTTGCAGATGCAGCAAGGTTCAAATTTAGCACCTTACCATTTGATCTCCCCTATGATCCGTTTAAATTTGTTCTAGTTTTCAATTGAGGTTTTTGTTTTACTTTAAAAAAAAATGTTTTTCTGTGTATGAAATCCAGGATAGGTAAATCTATAGAAATAGTAACTGGATTAGTGATTCCTTGGGAAGATGGCAGGGGAGGTTGGGGGAAATGTTCTAAAGTTGATTGTGATGATTTTACAACTCTTCTTCATGTGATAGAATTATTGAATTGTATGATAAGTGAATTATATGCCAATAAAACTGTTGGGGGGTAAAAAAGCAAAACCAAGCCTCTGCCCAGGGAAGTAGCTGCTCGTGGGCTGCGGCCAGCAGCTCCCGACCAGCAACAGCAAGAGGCAGAACATGTGACATTTGACTGTGCCCTGCCTTGGTAAGCTCACTGGTTCAAGAAGACTAAAGTGGGTTTCAGGATGGCGGAAGAGGAGCCCTCTGGTATCTCAAAGCTTGCCGAAGATGTTCCATTTGCTGACAGAGTCCATCCAGACTAACTCAAAGGTGGTTGCCTTGGGGTAGTACTCTGCCAGTTATCTGATTCTCACCCTCACCGGGCGGTGTGCACTACCATGCCAAGCATGCCATTTAGCTTCTTCCTTCTCCTCGTGGTGCTTCCATCCCTGGCTGCCTTTGTGGGAGGCCTATGCCTGGATGTATCGGTTATTTCTGTGGGTGGCTTTGCACTGCTTTGTGCCGTCTGTGGCTTGGGCTTCATATCACCTGTCACATCAGGGACATTCACCAGGTCCTGTGTGATGTGCTCTGGCCCTGTCAGCTACTAGTTTTCTCCCAGACCTTTGGCACAACAAAATTCTGGTGGCAGCTGGAATTATGCTCAGACTTTGGGATTAAGACTGCAGAGGGGACTGGGTAGTCAGGCTCTCCTATAAAGTGTCCTCTAGATGTCTGGGTGGAAAAAGGGAAGGGATGTTCTGATGACATCACTGGGCCCCTAAGTCAGCCACACTCAAAGTGTACCCTATCTGAACTTCTTGCTAGGTGAAGAATATTTCTTTTCTGTTTAAGTCGCTGTGTGGTAAAGTTGAATACCTGCACCCGAAAGCATACTTAAATTGAGAAAAGTGGCACAGAAATTGTTTCTTCCTTGATTTTTGCCCTAAGATTTCTTCCTAAGATCCCCACCCCCCAATGGTGAGGTCTAATTTTTTGTTGTTTGTGAGAAGTTTACTTATCTAAATATAAATCATACTAGAGGCTTATTAAAACTTATGCTACAGCTACCAAACTCTATAAAATGTGTAGTACATAATTCTGAGTGGTTGTATGAATTGTTACAACAGAAGCTTGATTACGTTCTGAAAACTTGATGGCAAACAAAACATACATGGTCTCAGCCTTCACACCTTGGGATCCCATCCCCCACTGACTAGCATATACGTGGCTTAGAAACAGATTTATTTATTAAGTTGCTTATGGTCTGTATCTTTCACGAGAAATGTAAAGGCCAATGGAACGTGGTGTTTGTCCACTATATCCCCAACCACGCACATAGCAAGAGAAAGCTGCTTAAACAAGTGCATACAAGTACTTACTAGGTCAAGTTTAAAAACTTGTTAAGGGTGGTGGTAATCATAAGCAGAGCTCGAAGGTTTGTGAAGTCAGAGTGTCTGCTTTCCTACTTGATTGGGAAGGGCTGGCTAAGACAGGGTCTGTGTCTTCCTTCTCCATTACCGAGCACAATGCTTCCTTTTCGATGTTAGATAAATGTTGGCTGAACTGAACAGATCAGTGATAGATAGATCACTACCTATCAGTGAGGTTGAGGTCTATTCCCTTACGAGCTTTTGGCATAGCCTATTGACTTACCCTATATGCATCAGAGTCTCTGCCCCAGATCCAGAGAATAGAATGGGCTACAGGAGAAGACCTGAAGGAGTTGCTGATATCACTCTGATTTGTCTGAACATCAAAGTTCACAGACATCATATTAGAGGTGGACGAATCTTCACCAAACTAGAAAATGAAAAGTTAAAATCAAATTAGAGGTGGGAAGGGAGTTATGACCAAGATTTAATTCGAACCCCCAAAATTAGTATTCAAATTCAGTAGGAAATCAAAGTGTTTCAGTAATAAAATAATCAGAACTTTAAAGAACCACGCCTAATTTAGAACGTTAGGTTTGCGGATCAACTAACCAAGTCTAGATTTGGTTCATTATTTTCCCTGAGTGGTTTGATTTTGCCCCAAGAACTTGGTCTTTGTTCATGGTTCCTGTGAAATACTCCTAAACCCCGCCCTTCTCCTGCTGCTGAGGACGCCAGAGACAGTGAACTCACAGCTGACGCCAATGAGTGAACTTCTGGGTGGGGCGGCAAGGCCGCAAGAACCCTCTGGGCTGAATAACTGGGAGAGGGGAGGGAGTTTGAATTATAGAATGAGACCCTCAATAAAGGTCTGGACGTGGAAGCTCCATGGGTTTCCTGGTTGGTGACAGACAGGGATGCTTGTGAAGGGCAGGGCACCCCACTTTGGGGCACGAGAGCTCTGTAGTGGGAATCTCCCCAGACATTTGGATGCTTTATGCTTTACTGGGATCATAATTTTACTCTGTAGTGGGAATCTCCCCAGACATTTGGATGCTTTATGCTTTACTGGGATCATAATTTTAACTGTTAAGACTTGCTGAGTTCTATGAGGCAGTCTATCGAATTACTACTGAAGTGTGAGAACCAGCAGTTTAGATGCAGGTGGGCTGAGAACTCCTGAGCTAAGAGGCTGCTATCCTGAACAGGCAGTGAGAAAACCCTCAATTTTTAGCTGGCAGGTCGGAAGTGAGGGTGGTGTGGGGACTGCTAGGTTTGCTGCTGGCGCTTCAGAAGTCTCCGGAAGACGTGGCAGTCCTGAGGACTGCGTCTCTTAACTTTGAGATGTGACCCCGTTTGGCATGCTTAGGCGTGTATAGCTGATTGATCCTTAGAGTTTGGTGTGAGGAGTGAGACTGAGTTTTTCCAGGCAGTCTCCCCGGTCCAGACTAAATGATCACCATTGTGTAAGAACAATGTGTCATGAAAAGAAAATTTTTAGAAAAGGCTCTTTTAGGGTCTACAATCAAGCCCTAATAACAGATTGCGAGCAGTGGTTCTCAATCTATGGGTCGCGAACCCTTTGCGGTGGGGGTTGGTGGGTGTTGAATGCCCCTTTCACAGGGGTCGCCCGATTCATAACAGTAGGAAAGTTACAGTTTTAAAGTAGTAAGGAAAATAATGTTATGGTTGGGGGGGGTCACCACCACATGATGGGCTGTACTAAAGGGTCATGGCGTTAGAAAGGTTGAGCATCACTAGTTTAGAGGCTGAAAGGTTAGACTATAGAAGAGCTTACTGTTTTTATGAGATACTACGGTTATTGATTTCTGGAACCTTACTAAATAAAGAGAATGGAACAGGATGGGGTGGGGTTGAGAAGGGCGGTCCAGTGAATTGTCAAATATGACTTTTTACTTCCATGAATTCTCTGATGCACCTGGGTTAAGAAAAGGCGAGGGAAAATGCAGATAGGATTATATGATTCGGCTGTGAGTAAATGTTAACAGGGTTAGTTGCCATTGTGAAAACTTGTAACACTAATATGGGGATTGGTCAATTCTGCCATCCTGCTGTGTGTAAAATGGACTCACTTGGCCACAGAAGGGGGGAGTCTCACTATCATTGAGAAAGAAGAGCCAGGAGTGGAGTGGAGTGTATCCTTTGAAACCCAAGATCCCTACGCTGAGCCTCACAAATTCAGGAGACAAAAAGCCAAGGCACCAGAGGAGGGACAGGAGTGGCAGCGGCAGAGACACAGCACAGGCCAGGGCGGGGGCTTCCTGGGGCCGGGAGCAATGCTAAAGGAGCTTTGTAACAATGTCCTAAAAGGGCAGAGGGACCAAGGGGCAAAGGGTCACTGAGAGGTCTGCCTGTGGGCCTGGCAAAGGGGCTGTCCTGGCCAGAGAACAGTGGCCTTAACATTTCTGATCCTGAATTATAATCTGTTAACTTCCCTAATCAACTCCTTAATTGTGAGCATAATCTGTGAGCTCTGTGTGGCCAGATTATCATGGGAGGGTCAGTTGGAGTCAAAACTGGTAGGGACGGTTAGAGGGCGGAGGCATGTCTGCCTCACAGGAATTAGCCTTGGGCCGATGAGTTTAATTCTTCTTTCATCCCTGAAGTCAAAGGAGTGTGGGGAGCTGAGAAACAGAAAGAGTGTATGCAACAAATTCTTTATTCTCATACTTAAGAAGCCTGGGAGGCCAGGGTTTTGGGTGGAGGGAAGCCTTCACACTTGTGAGTTAAAGATGAGTCTCCAATCACATTCTCATAATTAAGATTAATTCCCATAATATTCTCCCCTAACAGTGCTAACTTAAAGTTAACTCTTATAAGCACATGGCTGTTGGCTATCTGGCCAGCAGCCTTATCCATAAGAGCAGACATGTTGCAACTGCTCTCCCTGCTCAGGGGACAGTCACTCCCTCTTACCTGCCCCCTGCACTGGTGTCAGGTTACCAGTGAACTCCATTAACTCCCCCCCACCCCCACCCCCACCCCCAATGAACTAAGGGGACCTCTAGGGTTAGGGTACAGCCTACTTTATTATGTATGTGGTTACCTGTAATTGCATGCCCAAAACTATGTAAGTTGATGTACGAAGACATTTTCTCTCTCTCCTGCTCGGACCTGTTCCTGAAGCCATGGCAGAGGTGAGCGCCCCAATACTTTTGTTTGTCTCTTAATCTCTTCCCTTCAATTACACAACTGCCCCTTAGGACCCATCCGGATGTGGCCCCTCTGCCCCCAAGCCCTTTTTCACATGGAAACAGGAGAAAAAGGAAAGATTTCGTAGCTCTAGGGCTTGATATTTTAAGTATAAATTATTTCACTATGTAGCGGTATTATAGTTTTAAGGATATATATATATATATCCAGAAACTATACTGGTCCAAATGGTCTCTCGTGGTCTAAAAATTACACTGGGTTTCAATGTACTCCACTTTTGCACACACTTCTTTTACCCGTGAAGAGATTCGGACTTCAGACAGGTAGGGCCAATCACAGGGGCCTGTGTCTGAGACTGTCTGTCTCCCTGATTTCTTTCACACGGACTGTTACTAGAAGTATCTCTCCAGCTACGGTTAAGGACGTGGTGGGGTTTCTACGCAAATGGGGTAAACGTCATTTTACTTCCCATATCCTTTGATACTTGGAATCTCAGTTGTGCTTATTGTCCATACCACTCATCTGGCACTATTTATAATCTATCATTAGGACTGTGGATATGTGTACCTGCGCCTTGTGCTTATTGTCCATACCACTCATCTGCACTATTTATAATCTATCATTAGGACTGTGGATATGTGTACCTGCGCCTTGTGCTTATTGTCCATACCACTCATCTGGCACTATTTATAATCTACCATTAGGACTGTGTATATGTGTACGCGTGCATGTGAGCATGCACACTGAGAGAGCACTTGGCTCACAACAGGGTTTCATCAATGTTTTCTGTTGGTATTTCATTTTGTTAGCAGTTTGGCAGAGACAACACAGAAGACAATGTGACTTTCCCCCAGATTTTCAATTATAAGTCTTAGTCTAGGTGAAGAGGGGAAGGTGGAAGCTAGAATTAAATGACAACAACAGACCAATCTGATCAAATACACTGTATAGGTACACACACAATATTCTCGGATAATAAAAAAATCTGACTTTAGATTTCTAAGGTTTTGAATACTCTTTGAATAAATGACAGTCAAAAATTTTAGAGGATCAACATAGAAGGAATGAAGGAGAAAGAAATGCCTAGATAGCAAAAGTTTATAAACACTAGAAAGGACCAAGAAAAACAGACCTGAACGTAGTCCACATTTTCAAAAATATCTCCCCGATGGTAGCGCACCGGCTGGTCCCACTGGCAATGTAAACTATGCTGCTGGTTGACCAGACGGCATATTTGATGATTTCCTGGAATGGAAAGGACGAATGGTGAGAAGGGCTGGTAGCGCACACATGGTTTTCATAGCCAGAGTCATTTCATTTTAATCTTGTGCTCCTCAGAGGATCACAGCAGGTTGTCAGGTACAAACAACACCTAAAATGGGACCTTAAGCATATGTAACAAGTTAAAGGAGCTAAAAAAAATGTTCCGTAGGAGTTAGAAACGTTAGTTTTGACCTGTGGCTCTGCCATCAGCAAGAGTCACGTGTCCATCTTAATATAGGGCATTCTCAAAAGTAAAAAGGTTACAATCTAGAGTCTCGGAAAGTCTATAGGGCAGTTTTACTGTCACATGGGGGTCAATGAGTTGGAATTGACTAAAAGGCACCCAGCACCCACAATCAGCTCAATGGCTCCAACGCAGCTGTTAGGAACACCCCAGTCTTGGGAGACATTTCCCCACCTAATCTCATGGCTCCAATTCCTGTCCGGAGAATTGGAGCCATGAGATTAGGTAAAACCACTCCTCTCTAAGGAAGAGGCAGTCAGTGTAGCTCGTTAATCAGAACAACTTTTGAGCAGGTGGTAGAACGCTGTGCTCATTAAACGGCACAGTGGCTTTCCTGGGAAGGGCATCAAAGCATTACAAGTGTGAGATCCCAAGATGAACTGACAGTAAAAAGAGTTGAATCAAATGATCCTCTTAACTACCATCTAAAACTCTTTCGACATAGAATCTGCATTTCCAAGAGATCGCCAGGAGATTCACAGATGTGTTAAAGTTGGAGAAGCACTTGGACAGGGCAGAGAGAGCAAATAACTGTTAAGCTGCAGGATCTAAGTCTTCCTTTTCTTCATTTTGTGAATTATCAGAGCAAGGGGACCCACAACTCTCCCAGTCAACTCGTTGACATAGGCCTGGATTTCAGGCCTGAGTAGAGCCTGAAGCACACCTTGCATCTGCTCTAGGGCTACATGGAAGCTAGGAGCCCGCTAGAAGGAAGTTTCCTCACTCGTCCTCGGTCACCGGGAATGAACACTTACCTAACTGTGCCTCTTTTGCCATCTGAGTCTCATGGATGATGTTTCTTAAGATTTGCTCCTCCTGAATCAACTTGTGTTTCTCTAGGATCTCCTGCTGTCTCAGGTAGTGGTCATGTTGTTTTTGATACTCTTTCAACTCATTCAGTGTTCGCTGGAGGGATCTTAGCATTTTTTTAATATCAGGAAAAAAGTTACAGAGCTTGAAATGGATGATTTTTAAAACCCAATTAATGCATAAATATTCTGATTCCTAGTAATGACTGCTACGCTCTTTCCTTTTATTTGAGCATGCCACTAGTGAACCACACGTTCAAGAAAAATAGAAAGAAATGCTATTCTCTTAGGAGTACAAAGATGGATGTGAAATTCTTCCCTTGAAATATAACTATCTCATCACTATGTGCTATGATGGGCTTTTCTGGTACCACAAAGATATATAACAATATATATATACACTTTTGCATATTTAACAATTTTATTCCCTCTGCTCAATTTATGTTAGTTACATTCACATCCAAAGTCCTTCTGGAACCTTTGCCTGCTTTTAATCTTTTCTTTTGACCACAGTGAGTTAAGAATTGAGCTGTTAATTGCAAGGTCATCAGTTCAAACCCACCAGGGGTTTCATGGGAGAGAGAGGAGGCTGTCTACTGCAAACATTTAGTCTAGATACTCAAAAGGACAGTTCTACTCTGGCCTACAGGGCCACTAAGACTGGGCATGGAGTTGATGGCAGTGAGAAAGCTAAAGGTAAAGAGGGCCACAGGACCGTGGTCTTACACTCTAGCTGCTGAGAGAACAGATTTTAGGAGAAAATAAGAGAAAATTCTGCTTATCCCAAAATATTCTCAACCACGCCCTTTAGATAAATCAGTTGCTTGATTACATTTAGACACAAAACTCTTTGTACTTGTTATAACATAGAGACTTAGGATTGTACAGACTGGGTAAAAGAACTAGGCCCATCCTTAGGGCAAACTGCAGGAAGCACAGTTTTACAAATGAAGCCAAAGCCAGGAGAAGTCTGGATCAGATGCTGGCAGCAGTCAGTGAAGCAAATGAACAGTCATTGCTTCCTCTTCACTCCGTTTTGCTGCAAACAGTTAAAAATAAGCAAAAGCAACAGTCCATTTAAATCTCCATTTAATTCTCTAATAGCCACAAGAGATATAAAATTTAGTATAGTTCTGTATGAGAGGAACAATTCACTTCTGAAGTTTCTTAATTGCTTCTATTATTGGAGGACTCAAAATACATTTTCTAGTTAAGTGTACAAAGACTCGAGTACAACAGAACCCCATTACTGAACAATTTAACACATACATTTTCTTCATCTGCAGGCCAAATAATGCCTCTCCGTTCTGTGTAATTAACCTAACAAAGCACAACCCTAGGAGTTAAACAAGAACAGGACCAATTATAGCATGTGCAAGTGATTTTCCTGGTGTAGCCTATGGAAATAGAAATGTAATTTAGTCGAATTGCTGAGTATCTCCTCACTGGTAAACTGACCTGTAACAGTAATTGTAAAGATCAAAATGACAAATTTTGCTGTAAACGTTCCCCAGTTCTTGGAATCTATACTATTAAAAAGATTCCTAAATAAAAAAACCTCAAAGCCATTCCGAGTGTGGTAGTTATGTAATCGTTTGTCAATCTGAGAGAATTAAGAGTGAAGAGAGGGGAGTCTAGCCCATCAATCAGGTCATAGCCAGTGAGGCCTGTGTGGGCATGGCCTTCTCCTGGGAACTCCTGTATTCCTCCTTGGAGGTGGGACACTCTCTCTCTCTTTGCTCACTCCCTGCGAGACATCCACGAGGAGAAACCACATGGACCTATCCTGGTGCAGCCAGAGCCCTGGGTGCTGGAGAAGCCACATGGAGACCCTTGCCAGGGCTGAGATGCTTATAATGCCACTGGATCCAAAAGACCTCCCACCCATTGGCCTATGATCGTCCTGCATCTGACATCATTGCATGTGTTTCATGAGTCTGAAGAGGTCTTTATAGATTGGTATCAGACATACGGGCTAATGTCGGACTTATGGACTTGATCTGGACTGGACTGGGATGTTTTCTCAATATTCAATTGCTCTTTCCTATACACGAGTGTCTATGGTTTTGTTTCTCTAGTCTACCTGGACTAACACACCAACTCATAACAACCCTAGAGGGCAGAGTAGAACTCTTTGTAGGGTTTTTAAGGCGTTAATTTTTATGGTAGCACAGTGCCTCATCTTTCTCCTGTAGAGCGGCTGGTCAACTTGAACTTCTGACCGTGTCAACCTTACACACAAAACTCTTTTTACTTGTTGACAGTTTTGACAGTTGAGCACTTCACTGCTGTGCCACCAGGGCTCCCTGATTTGGGCTAATTTACCTGGGCTTGCAGCAAAGGGACAGGACTATCTGTAGAAAAAAAAGAGGCTTTCTTTTCATTCTAAGGAGCAAATGAACAGTGCTAGCACCACACACAGATCTAGCCTCAGGTGTTAAGGCTTTAGCACCATTCTTTCTTCCAGTTTACCTATGTTGAGCCTCCAATTTTTGCTCAAGTTTTTGTTGACACAGGACAGCGTGCTTCCTCTTTACAGCTTGCTCAAACCCAGGTTTGGCCTGCAAAGCATGGTCATAACAGAGTACTGAGTGGTTGTATTCACCAAGCATCTGAAGAGAAAAAACACACAAATACGAGGGTTGAAAAACTAGCCAAGGCCCGGCTGCATTTTCCCAACCCCCCAATCACATATGAATTCACAGGTAGATCTCATTCTGTGGTGAGCGTTGTTGGCGTGATGGCCACACCACGAAGGCATGCTATTGGATGGCTTCACTGGAAGGTATCGCTACTATCTGCTCTGTAGAAACTTAATATTTTAACCACTGATTTTCCTGTCCAAACTATGATGCACGAATGTGTTGAAGGGCCCCCACCCCAATCACAATTTCAATCTGAGGCCTCTCCCTTGTTCAGATACAAAAATGGAAGGCAAATAAAAAAGAGAAAAAAACAAAACGGACTCATTTGACTCATGAAACTGAGAGGTGTATTTACTGCATAGATGTTTCCCAATGTGTAATAGCTGGTGAAGAAGTCGCTGTCATCCAGGGCTGCATGGACCACGACGGCAGCATCGGCAGAGAAGTGGGCTCTGTGCAGCACGTTTGCTAGGTTGACCAGGGCGATGTCTTTATTGTGTCTAAAAGGCAAGGCAAGATGCACTTAGCTCTTAGGAAGGAAGATCCCCATGCATTCAACAAGTACCTGTAACTACCTGTCAAGGGAAAAGGGCATTCCAAGTTACTGTGCATCGGAAAATCACTTTGAGAATACTTAGAGGTAAAGACAATAACTAGATAATCACAACACCTCTTTTCTATGGTTTTAATGGTGTTTACTGAATCTGAGAGCCACACATTTTGCTACAAAAACAAGGCCTGCCAGACATTTCATAACTTTAAAATGTATTCAGAGTCTATTCTGCATTAAGGAAAGCTTTCTTTGGGATAATTATGCTTTCTTTTGCACTTCATGAAAGTCAGAAGTGTATTATGAAATTAGGTTGAACACTCGGCCATTGTGTGTGTGTGATGGTACTAATGTCTTTGGAGAGGTACAGAAGAGAAGTTCACCGCAATGCTGTATCTTAGGGGTTTCTTATGTACTGCTTGCTTGTCTGACAGACGGGAGGGTCTCTTACCTGGAAGAGAAGTGAAGGGCTCGCATGGCACATTCCACTACCTGATAGGGCTCATTCTTTATTCTCCAGTAAAATGAAGCCATGTTATACAGTACCCACGAGGAAGAATTCTAAAGAGGGCAAATAAAATGGCATTCAAACACAGTACATGACAAGCTGTTTAATACAATATTAAAAACGAGTGTCTTCAATTCTCTGGCTCTTCTGAAAATCTAGATGAAGAGCAAGATTAAGTATTATAGGGATAAACCAGAGTACCAATACTACATCTATCGAAATAGTGGCCTCCCCCCCCAATCAGTACAATAAGTATAGTGAGGTGTGATTTTCATTTAGGGAAGTCCAACTCAGGGGCATCATGGAAAGGGGAAGTAAAGCCAAAAATAAACCACACGACGATCGCTTGTCCAGTTCTATTTCAGGATGTTACAAATTCAGAACCAACCTGCTTCAAAATGCAGCTGTTCTAACATATTATTCCCGAACTGCAAAATTACACTACAAACGGTACTAATATCTACTTACTATCTGAGTCAAGGCACAAATTCAGCCAAATGAGAGGCTTATGCCTTTGTGAAAGAAACATTTTTGTTTTACGATTTTTCATGAATGTTTAAAATCTAATCCAAACCTTAAGCTTCTTCAGAGTAAAGTTTTTGGTCGGAGTTGGAATTGTCAGGCGCTGTCGAGTCTGTTCCACCTAATAACCCGGGTACAAGGAACGAAACCCTGTCCAGTCCTGTACATCCTCACAGACTTCCCACAGTAACTCCACGTACAAGGAACAAACCCTGCCCGGTCCTAGTCCTCAGGCTTCACTATATTGGAGCCCACCCAACCACGGTCAATCCATCTCCTGAGGGCCTTCCTCTCTTTCACTATCCCTGGACCAAAGACAAAGTCCTTTTCCAGGGCCCAGTCCCTCCTGAAAACATGACCAAAGTAGGAGAGACTAACAGTCTTTTCATCCTTGTTTCGAAGGAAATTTCTGGCCGCACTTCTTCCAAGAGAGATATATTTTTTATTCTGGAGTTTATGGCACTTTCAATATTCTTTGCCAGCACTGCATTTTAAATGGTGATTTTCCTTATTCAATATTCAACTTTCTGAGGCAACTGAAAATACTTCTTGGATTTCTTCCTTCAGTACATCTGGCTATTGATCATAAGCTACTTCCAGAAATGGCTGGTCATTGACCAAATCTTTTTTTTTTAATAATCATTTTATTAGGGGCTTATACAACTCATCACAATCTGTACATACGTCATCTCTGTCCAGCACTTTAGTACATATGTTGACTTCATCATTCTTACGACACCCACTTTCCACTTGAGCCCTTGGTGTCAGCTCATTTTTCCCCCTC